TGTTATTTTACGTTTTTTTTGCCATTCTTTTGCCTTTAAGGTAAGACAAACCCAGCTAAAACAAAATCAGAGGTTTAATTTTACAACTGTACTAAGAAAAAACAACAAAAAAATTATAAGAATTACATGACAGATAACTGTTATATATCAGGAAGATCAAAGTTATTCCATATCATTTAATTATTTTTTATGAAGTTCATGTATTGCTAATATAAATGTTAGTCACAGTTTTAAATAAATCATACTGTTTTTTCATATGTATGTAGAATAAAAAATGTATAAATAAACTTATATAAATAATTTTCGTGACAATTCTAACTATATTATATATATACCTTCATCGCACTCATCCACATTTTGTAGTTCTTCCAGATTTTGGAATTCATCAACTTTCTGAATTTCTTCCAAATCAAGCTGTTCTATTTCCACTTCAGGTGACTCTACTAAACTCATATCAGCATCTTCGAATTCTTCCACATATAAGCTTTTGTCATCAGCGGCCAAACTGGCTTCATCTTGTTGTTGGATTTCGCTTTGCCGCAATACATGCGTCAACAGGCGTTTCGATTCCTTTACTTTTTTATGAAAATCATAAGCCATTTGTAATTCTAAACCGCAGTTCCTGCATAATTGATTGGGAAGGTTGACATCGGCCAATAAATCGATCTCCGTGCAAATCTTGAAAACATCTTTATATGTTAAACATTCATCCTCGTCGTATATTATGTTGACATCTAAAATATCCGCACTCTGGGGTAATTGCAGGCAAACGCGACAATACAAATGAACATATTCCAGTTCAAATGTATTATCGTCCGATTCATTATTTTCCACTTTAATATCCATTAGAAAACGATTTCTAATTTGGTCGGAAGTGATTTGTTGTTAAACTTTATTTAAATTTGTTTAAAATCATAGAACTTTTATTTTCACACAATAAACACGCCACAAAAAATTTTTCAACAATCAAGTAGCGTTGCCACCTTAATCGCTTGTAATGCGTTTATTATTTTTCATATATTTGATTTGCTTTTGTCATATACACAAGGTTGTATTTTTATTTCACGACTGCTTTTGTTGGGCAAACTAATCGTTTTACTTTACAGAATTTCAGCGGTATTGGATTATTATGAAATTGCAAAAACAATTAATTCCTAGTTAAATTATATTTTCAAAAATAGTAGTTATTCTAAAGTTTTATATTTTAAAATCAAAAATAATAATTATTTGTGCATTTTAAAATAAAAAGCAGAGTGTATAATATCGCGTTTGCACTAGCCGAAAATGACTCATTTTGAATGAACCATTTGAAAGTGTTTAGATTCGTTGTAATTCATTTGTTCCCATTTCAAACAGCTGATTTTTCAACTTGCCAGTTGATTTGATTTTTGGCCTGTGCCAAAAAAATGTTACATGTACCTTCAAACTTTACAATGCAAACTGAAAACATTTTTTTAACTTCGATTGAATACTTTTTGCGAAGAAGAAGTTCTAATAAGAGGTGCATCGTTTTCAAAAATATGCAACCACCAAACATATGTTTACCTTTTTTGTAAATATGTCATAAATAGCTTTTTCAAACTGTCAAAATGCCATGAAAAGCTTTTATTTAGGATAATTTTATTTGGTCCAATGTTAACGCCATATTACGGTCCCTGATCAAAACATAAATTAATATATTGGATAAAACGGAGAATCATTTAAAAAAATTGGAAACGTTAAAAAGAATAAAATTAATGCAATTTTTAGAGAAGAATTTAATCTTATATAATATTTTATTTAATTTTTAAGAATTTAATTAAAATTAATTAAAAATTATGAATTATAAATTATTTTGAATTTTTATAGATATTTGCTATAGCCTTTTATCCACTTTATTCATTATATCCACTAATTTGGATGATTTACCACATAAAAATCTTTCATATAAATGGGCTCATTAATAAATCAGTTAATTTAAGGCGAAAAATGTCGAATGCAACATTTAAAAATAAATTTCCCACAGGGGAAATTAGCAAAATTTGAATATGTATCATATGTTTTGTATGTAAAATGTAAACAAACAACAACTGAGCTGTAAACAAAGACATTGAGGAAGTAAGTTCTTAATAAAATTTTTGTTTTTGTTTTTGTTAATATATCAATGTATTATATATACATTATTTAATATATCAACTTTATGTTTAATATTTTTGAGTGGTTTATTATTAAGAGAAGTTTATAAAAGTTCTATCAGCTGAACAAATGAGCTCATTATAATATGAACGTTCATTAATATTATTAACGTTAATATAAATGAGTGCCTAAATGAGACAGTGTGAATGTACTATAATGAAACGCCATTTAGAATGCCATTTTCTTTTGTAAGAAAGTGATTGAGATAATTGAGTAAAAAAAGGAAATTATTTTATAATTGCCTTCTATTGGGTGAATACAGTCTCAAAACATTCTAATATGACAACCAGAATATATGTTGACAAGTCCCACATTTCAAACAAAAATATAAATTAGAAATATCGACTTTTTAGAGTTGTATTTATATTTATATAATAATTATTTATTTAGATTTATTGAATTTATTTTGTTCCTTTGGTTTTATGCTACTCTATTTACTATAGATCTTTGTTATTTCTTGTTTCCTAAAAGTAATTACTATAGTGTTGACACTTAATTTTAATTGTCAATAAATTGTTAATTGAAATTAATTATAAGTGTGTTGTCAATATTGAAAAATTTTATAAAAGTATTATTATTTTTTATTGAGACAAAATTTTATTAGTAAAACTATTTGCATATGCTAATAAAGATTAAATGTTGTGTATGGAGAGATAAGTTCAATTTGAAGCATTCATTATAATGGAAGGTATTTATTGTAATATGAATTGTGATAACTCGATCGAAACATGGTACTAGATTTACTATAATTAAAATATAGGATTGCATTAAAATTTTTCTTTGAATGTACTTATCCAATGAAATAATTTAGTACACCTAGTGTTTGTTAACACCTAATTAATTTGATATAAAATAAATATAGTTCAAAAGAACAGAAAGTCGAGTTTCGTTTAATCTATAAACAAAGACTACTTAAATACATATTTGTTGTGTTTACATTGCAAACTTTACCTTTTGAACTTTAGTAAAGTTCATTGTTACTATCATTTTTGAATTTTGTTTTCATAAAATATTCTTAAAACATAGAAAATTATGTAAATGTGATTTATAAAGTTAAGAAAGTTTTTTTGAGCAATAGTGAATTCCAACAATAAAATTCTTATTGAGACTAGCTGGCTAATTAGCACTAAGTCTAAGCTTTAAATTTGATAGAGTACAAGTTCAACTCATGTTACTTGCAGTTTAAGCAATTATTAACGAATAATTAAACATAAGAAATATTTGCAAATGATATCTAACGCTGATGATAGATTTTCGACAATTCTTGAAACAGTTGTAAGGCCAGCCAAAAGTTCAATTAATTAAAAAAGGAATTTCGTTGTTGCGATTCACTATTGTTCCGTTTTTTTTATTTTCAAATTAACCCACCAACAAATATTGTGGAGATTTTTATAAATACTATTTGATATTTTTCCTAAAAGTATGCTGCAAAAATGTTTAATTTGAGGCTGAGTGAAAAAAGAATGATATGTGTGCATATTATAGCTACTGTTTAGAGCGCAAAAACAGTCATACACGGAGGAACATGGTTTCAGTTACTTGGTT